ATGCGCCCACACAGTACTCAGAGATATGGCTTCCAGGTAAGAGTTCACTTCCACTTGCTATGGCGACTCAGCGCCCAACAACCCACTGTTCACACACTGGATCACCCTGGATATCCCACACGCGACACCCCGAACACTCACACAACACACTCACACAACACCCTAAGCTACAGCTATGGCAGCGCTAGCTGCCTCTACCCTATCGCTATGGCTACTTCGTCACTCTCGCCCACTTCAGCTTCAGGGCTACTGCAGACCTCCTCGCACAAGACGCTGAGGCAGCGCTTCCGCATGGCTTCCACAGGAATGAATGAATGGCTGTGCGCGGCCTCTTGATTTATACTTCTGTGACCCGTTGGTCTGCCCTGTTTCCCTGGCCCACGGGGTACACAGTCCCAGATGGTACTTGCTTGACGGGACCGGACTGACTGGACTGGGACTGCTGACTCTGCGTGGTGGACTCCCACCACTTGCCCACCTGCCTGGACCTACAGTGGGCTGACTTCCAAAAGGCCACTTCTAGAAACCTCTACTTGGCCTTTCGGTACTGTAGCAGCTACAACTCTGCCCTTTCAGGTAAGTAGCAGCTACGACTTTGACCTTTCGGAACGTCTACAGCTAAGACCTCTGGACTAGCTGGACTCCTACCCGACAGGTCTACAGTTCGAATCCTCTATACCCTGTAACCTACGATATCCTACCTACCACGGGCGGTTCTACAGGTCGCAGGTTCAACTCTACGGGTGGACTCCCACCACTTGCCCACCTGCCTGGACCTACAGTGGGCTGACTTCCGAAAGGCCACTTCTAGAAACCTCTACTTGGCCTTTCGGTACTGTAGCAGCTACAACTCTGTCCTTTCAGGTAAGTAGCAGCTACGAATTTGACCTTTCGGAACGTCTACAGCTAAGACCTCTGGACTAGCTAGACTCCTACCCGACAGGTCTACAGTTCGAATCCTCTATACCCTGTAACCTACGGTATCCTACCTACCACGGGCGGTTCTACAGGTCGCAGGTTCAACTCTACGGGTTGACACAGGTACTGTACACAGGTAAGGTGGGGAACTAGGGATCGAGCCCTGGGATCTGCATCAGCTACTGCGAACAGGTGAATACCGTTTCAGTCGAGTCCATGCGACCAACTATGTACAGCAGTCAGAAACATACGACTTTTAAGGGATAGGTCGTGGGCTCAAACACACAAGGTCAAATGGGTACTGTACACGGGCAAGGGAAGGTCTAGGGACTGAGCCCTGGGATCTGCATCTGTCACCGGTTTAGGTGAAAACCGTTTCAATGCCGAATATTTGATCTCTCGCGTGTATGTTTTCTCGTTGTCTATCATTCTCCCTGACTTCGTCTTTGGAAGGTGACATGTTTTCCTACGATGCATGATCTGAACATGCTCCTTGCACCTACGATCTTGATTGCTTCCATGTGAACAAGGTTCGTAACGATTCCCTAATGCTAATGCTAATGGGTGGGTGGGTGCATGCATGTGTGTGTGTGGGAGAGAGAGAGAGAGGGGGAAAAAATGGAGTGAATGGGCACGGCATCCATGTGGCACTAACTGTGTTGTGCTCCTTTGCATGTGCAGCAGGGATCATCCTCCACAGCACCGGCAAGGACAGGAGAGCGGAAGCGGGAGTGCGTTATAATGTAAATACCATGAAGTTCACGGCATTGACCATCTCTGTAATATATACAGCCTCCTGATGAGTCGGTGAAACTCCGACGAAACAGTTTGCCCCAAACCCCCGTTTGTAGTCCTCTTCTCCCTCTCTGCCTACGGTTTACCGGGCAGCTCTGTTTGACGATATATATGGATGTTATGAAAATGCAACAATCTGAATATCCTGCCAATGTGGATGTACAGATTGGGTGGTTGATTTGGTGAGATAGTTGTCAGGGTGGAAAGGGCCATCTTTGTCGCTCTGTTTGGTGCGACAAGTGTGGCCCTTGCGGCCTTTATTGCATCACTTCAGTTTGTGTGTTGCGTTATAGTTCCATCGGATTCGTCCTCTGAATTTTCGCAAGTTTGAATTTGATCTTCCAGGTGGGAATTCACTGCTCTGGATTGAAGATTCATTATGGACCTGTGACTCATTCGACCCCGTTTAAGAACGAAAGGTGGGTGGGTGGGGGGGGAGGCGGACAGAGGGCGAAGGAGAGGGACATGAATGAGGCTTGGGCAGGCTGGGGAAGGAGTGAGAGG